TTGGAATCCCTGCCACTGCTACCTAAAACTCTCCCTTGCTAGCTCCTGGAAGACTTCTCCACATTCCATTCACGCAATGGAAAGCAAGACCTAAGGAGGTCTTCCTATTTTGCAGCTAGGGGGAGGTTTATGTCAGTAGTGCAGGATGGGGGCACAGTGGCACCCCATTCCTAGAACTTCACCCCTTTTTAAAATAATATTTCAGGTGTAATGTACTACAATCCATTTTTTTTTCCAAACTACTGTGTAATCTGCTGTAAAAACACAGTGAGAATAATGATAATCATGACTATTATTATCAATGTCATAAAATGAAGCTATTTATTGGCAATATAAAACCCAGGTTTAGGCTTTTAATAAAGAATTACATGAAATGTGCTTGTTGTACAGGACGATGTAGGCTGCCATCTTCTGGACATCACTGGAATTAAAACCAATAGACAAAAAGCACAATGTTTAAAGCCTTAGGGTTAGGCAAAGTAATAAAGACGATAAGTCAGACCTTCTTTCAGTGTGGGCTATACTGGTGACCATCACCAATACAAAACCCCAACCTAAAAGGAACTCTGTACTAAAATGTTGGCCCCTGAACTGGTAGTAGCATGTCAGTGCAGGCTTCCAGTGGTACCAGAATATCTCATTTTCCATTTATAGAATCCCAAATGCCCTAAAGCCTAGGCCAGTGGTGGCAACTTTGGCACTCCAGCAGTTTTGGAACTACAAGTCCCATGAGGCATTGCAAGGCTCTGACAGCCACAGACATAACTCCCAGAGGCAGATGCATTTTGGGATTTGTAGTTTTGGCACAGCTGGAGTGCCAAGGTTCACCACCACTGGCCTAGGCCCTCTAACAAATGGCAACTTTGTGCATCACCACAGGCAGAAAGGCTGCCCATCACATAGGGAATAAGTCAAACACTACGCACAGGAGGAGTTGGGGCCAAGCACCATAAAAGCTGATATTTACATATTAGAGCACCCATTGGTTTAGGGTTTCCTAAGGATGCTTTAGATCCTTGGTTCTCAACTGGTGGGTCGCGACATGCCTTCTTTCCAGGTGAGAGACTCCTCAGCCTCCCCCTAGCAGCACTGTCAGTTCTTGTGCCAAGCAGCCATTCAAAATATGGCCCTGCGTGTCAGCTGGAGGTGGGATGGGCTGGAAGTATTGCCATAAGGGAGCTCCATCCACATGTGCATTGCTTACAGCTCCCACCTGTGCCCTGTAGAAGTTCCTGGACTGATGTCACATTCTGGCACCTCTACAGGGCAAGCAAGGGAGCTGTACAAGCAATGCACATATGGATCCATTACAGCACAGCAGCCCGCACTGGACACAAGGCTGAAGATCCATTACAGTTCTCATATGGTAGCGAGAAAAAAAAAAAATTATAATTTTTTGGAGTGTGTATGTGAGTGTGTGAGTGTTTGAGTGTTTTTGAGGGTCCGTTCACTCAAGTACAGTGTGTTAATCACACGCGATTAATGCACTGTACCATGCAATCGCACCTGTGTTGTGTGTTGCGTTGCCATTGATTTGAATGACACCCCAAACGAACCTCCCACCCACAGTCCGATCGCCTGCACCCAAAGGGCCGATACTGCAATGCCGCGCATTCCATTGAAGTACGACTTGGGTCACAACTTAATGACCAAGGACAAATGTGGGTCCTGAGGTTACACCGGTTGAGAACCGCTGCTTTAGATGAACAGCGAGAAAGCCCACAGCATCCTCACTTGCAATGCAGGTCAGTTGGATGTGCATTGAATGAATGCCTGCGACCAGCGGAGCAGGGGAAGAGAATCGGCTTCGGTGGGCAGTGAAGCTGGTAGCAAACCTGTGGGAGCGAGATATAAGGTATGTATAAGTTGCTTTTTATGTGTCCCTTAGACATTTAACACTTGCAATGTTCAGGAGCTCCACTGCATGGGCCATGCTTTATATTCATCTTGAATCCCTTGTGGCAAACATGGATTACATTTTACCTTCTTAGTCTATGAGTATTTGCAGTTTCCTACTTTCCCTTCCAAATGCTTCAGCCTTTTGTTTGCCCTTAAATAAGGGCATATTAGTATTTCTAGAAGTGGTCAGCAATGGCACTTTTCATGCTTCTCCAATGACCGGTCTACTTTATTAAACACCTTGTGAATTTGAAATGATCCCAAACGGCAACAAAACCAGCTTACCTAGATCTGCTATACAGCACTGGCCGTTCTTCCTCACAAGAATGTTCTTGCTCTTCAAATCTCGGTGTGCAATGGCGGGCTTTCCCTGGGTGCCAAATATCTCTACGTGTAAATGTGCCAGTCCACTGGCGATGGACAAGACGATCCGAAGGCACATCACAGTGTCCAAGGTTGTCACTTGCAAGTAATCATAGAGAGATCCCATTTCATGATAGTGAGTAATCAGCCACAGCTGAGTGCTGGAGTTTCTGGATGTCATGTCCGAAGCGATGAAACCTTCACAGACAAAAAGAAGACACATGAGGGTCAATCAATTCTAATACAGAAGACAGCTGAATGGCAGAGCCTATGAGGCAGCTGCGCAAGTCACAAGCAGAAGAAAGCCACTTTCAGTAGTCTAAAGCTGCCCATACACCTGACTATTATCGTACCATAATCGCGCGTGATCCCGCAATCATACGATAATCGTAAGGTGTATGGGCAGCGAGCGACCGCATTTACTGTACGGTCGCACCATTTTCGTATAACGAGCACGCTAGAAAACCTACCGAAAGTCATACGATTTTCGGCGAGTTGGTAGCGCGATCGCAAGACGAAAGCCGCACGGCCCGAGGTGCGCAAGCGCACACTGCCCGCTCACCATTGCAATTATCTGCAAGCCCTCCCCTCAGCGGGGAGGACTTGCCATGATCGCAAGTACGATCTGCCTGTCCATGATGGGCAGGTCATACGAACGTTTAATCACCTTACAACCATCGCGCAACGAAAGCCATGCGATGGTTGTAAGGTGTATGGGCAGCTTTAGGTGTTAGTATGGGTCAAAAACTCTACTGTGTCCAACGCAGCCCACTTAACAAACATGTTGAAGTCCAAGCTAAAATAAATCCAGCTAATTAAAAAGGAGCATATCTCATAAAATGAAGAAGAAGTGGCTCATATTATGGTTTAAAGCTGAACTGCGGGAAAATAGCTGAACACACAAGAAAAACATCCGACCTATTTTACTTTCCAAACTATTTGTAATTCGATTTTGCCTGTCCTTCGATTGGAGGCACCTGTCACACTGCATACGATGATCTCTCCATTTTTCTCTACTGCATAATAGATTTCTCACTAACCCACCCACAGAACAAAAATTGGAAAATGAAGATCTATTCCTCCCTTAAGACAGTTCTGTGCAGTTGAACCTGGGTGGTGACTGTTCCCACGGAGCCATTTTGCCTTTTTATAGGAGCCGCTTTTCTCAAGCAAGGTTGTATGGAACCCCCGGATTCCTCCAGAGAGGCCAAGGGGTTCCTTCATCTGTGGCAGACAACTTCTACCGGTCTTTGCCTGCCTAGTTCTGGCAACAACACTGTCCAGAAGCCAGCCAGAGGAATGGGACCAGCTTAGGTTTTTCTCTGGCTTCTCAGGCAAGTAACCACTGGAAACAGACAGCAATGTTGGGGTTAGCATTCTGTAAGGTAAACATTCTCTTCACTGACCACACTGGATTTGGTGTGAACAAGCCCTGACACCACGAAGAGCTTATTCACACCAAAACCAGTGTGTGCCAACATGGTTAGTGGCTGGAGTGCACTGGATTGCATAATGAAATCCTCCTGCATTCTGGGGCAGGACGGGGCGTGGCGGTGCTATTTAAATCAATAGCACTGCAGCCATGCCTCCAGCCCACGGTGCGATCACCCGCACCAGAATGTGTGGCACAGCAATGCCCATGGTCCGGTGCGATTGCAAAAAAATAGTGAGCATGCATAAGTGTTGTTGGAGACTGGGTTCATGCTTCAGTGACAGTCAGACTGGAGACACGTTACATGAGACTGCTAGAGATCACTGCTATTATAGCCCGTTTACAAATCAATGTTCCCACATTACAGCCCCCTTAAAAATTTGATTTTGATCCTTAATATTTATTATAAAAGATTATAAAACATCAGAGGGGAAAAAAACCAAACAAAAACCCCATAAAAAGAGATAGATAGCATAGAAAAAGTTATATAGTGTGGAAGGATTGAATCAAACCATTCAGCTACTAGAAGCCAGTCTAAAGAATATTTTTCCTAAGTACTAAACCACTGACTACTTCTTGCAGGGGCCCCAATAAATGCCAATGGGCCACATGAGGCCCCTTGGGCCCCAGCGGGCCAAGGAATGAAACGTTTACAAAGCGTGGTCATAAACAACTGACAATAAAACATAACCGTGATAGAGCCATCCTTTTACTTTTACATGGCTAATCCCTCACCTAAGCTCTGATGCTCAGCACAGCCAATGTCAGAGCATTGTGCAATGTGTCAAGTAGAGACTCATTCGGCTCCTCGCCGCCTGTTTACTGGTACGCATGGTGTTAAACATAATCCAGCTATTAAAATGTGAGAACCAGCCGCAAAAACAGAGGCTTGCCTAGACAGTAAGAATCTGCTTGTAAAACCGTCCAAGAAAAAGGAACTGAAATGATACGGAATGCAGAAAGTAAGCCCCAGGCGCTGTGCATATACACTCAATTGAGCAGATCCTCTACGGGGACGCCGTGTATCCGGCTACGAGCTGTTCAGCCCATCTCAGTGCAAGGAACAATTCTCTGCTTTGCTGCACTGCTGTCTCAACATGCAAACATATTTACAGGCGAGGTACACCGCATGCAATGATGGAAAAGAAAACAAAATGTCTGGAATGAGAAAGCCAGCAACGAAAGTAAATGTCACTTCATGTTAATCTCCATTATTAAAAGGAAGAATAGAGTTTAAACCAAAATTACAATTCTTTTTAGAGTGTGCTATATATTTATAGGGACTGCCATCTTAAAACTAGAATCCAGGAAAGCATCTAACACGCAACTAAAATACATTTATAGGAGCTGCCAAATTGTTTGCATTTTTGTCCATTCAGTTTTGAGATTTACGCAGCACAGCCTACTGGCCAGGCAAGAAACCTAATTTTTCTCTGCTGCATTTCAGTAAAAAAAAAAAAACAAATGAGCTTATCTTTGTCACTCTGCCCTCTCCTGTCAGCATGCTGCCTGTTAGTAATGCACCTAATTGGCCTCCTGTGCTGCTTCTCCCTCTACCAGTCTGCTTCCCTGCGCTGCTTCTCCCTCTACCAGGCTGGCTCCCTCTACCAGGCTGCTTCCCTGCGCCGCTTCTCCCTCTACCAGTCTGCTTCCCTGCGCCGCTTCTCCCTTTACCAGTCTGCTTCCCTGCGCTGCTTCTCCCTCTACCAGGCTGCCTCCCTGCGCTGCTTCTCCCTCTACCAGCCTGCCTCCCTGCGCCGCTTCTCCCTCTACCAGCCTGCCTCCCTGCACCGCTTCTCCCTCTACCAGGCTGCCTCCCTGTGCTGCTTCTCCCTCTACCAGTGTGAGCTCGGCATTGCAAGATGCTGGTAAGCAAAATGTAGGTTCTTGCATTGTTTGCATTAAAAAAAAGGTATTAATGTATACATAGCTGCATTAACTTTGTACTAAATAGTGTAATATTCGTAGTTTTGTATGATTTGAGCTTTACAAAACGTATTGATACACCATAATCGGTGGTCTCTACAATAGTCTCTATATAGACGGGCCAATACAGTATTTTAATAATGCTCTTTTTAGGGAGACTGGGATTTAACATTGCATCTTGTTATCAGTATTCGCTTTGTAACAGATGGATTATATATCTCCTGCATTATTTGTGTCTGTTATAATTACCTGTAGTTCAGCTTTAAACAAACCAGCAACAGTACATAAGTGAGCCAGCACTGGACCTTTAAATGACCATATCCTTATGTGAACTCTAACAAGGCATGGTGCATACAACTGAAATCAAGTCCTAGAGATGGCTGTGCTCTCCTTGAAGAAGTTAAACTGGAATCGTCATGTACACTAGGCTGATGTAGCCAAGTCCCACAGAGCTGCAGAGTGGTATTTTTCCATTAACAGAAGTTGCTATTAAACAGTTACTAAAACAAGTAGCTGCCCTGCATTCCAGGCCGCTGTAGCCATCTGGTGAGAATGCAGGACGGCCCTATTGCTAATTTAATCTGCACTGTCCCAAACCGATCATTTAACAGCGCTCTCAAAGGCTTGGCCAAGAATTCCCCTGCCACTGGCAGTAGCCTAGGCCCTATTCCATCTACAGCAGACAGTAGGATGTGTCTGTGCATTCCGGATGCCATGGACTTAATAGAGCAAAGCCTCTAGTCTGCAGCAGGAAGGGAATGTGATGTACAAGGAGGTGTGCTTAAGTGCTATGAATGGCTTACCTAGAATATTTTCATGTCTCAGCAGCACTGTGTTGTATAATTCCGTCTCTCTGAACCAGGATTTCTCATCCCGCGATGAAAAAATCTTCACTGCCACACTTTCGCCTTGCCAGAGGCCACGCCAGACTTCCCCGTAACGACCCTTACCTATAGGGAGGGGGGGAAAAAAAATCATATTAAAATGGCAAATCAGACAAAATGGTGGTAATGTTAGGCCCCACAGCAGAGGTGGATTTGGTGGGTTTGATTTAGTAAAGGCAAATAGGCGGTTCAGTTTGCAAGGCAATTCCTCCGTAGCTTAGTAAAAGAGGTGAAGTGCAAAAATACTGTTTTTTTTCTCACTTGCACATGATTGGATATTTTTTGCAAAGCGAGTTTTCAGCACATTCACGAAGCTAAGGGAAACTCCCTTTTCCCTGCAAAGTGAACAGCCTATTTGCCTTTATTAAGTCACCCCATTGCATCTTAGGCCCAGCGTTGCTTTCAGTTTGTAGGCCTCTCCAGTAACTTATTAGGATCATGCATAAACCAAGCGTACACAGACATTTGTGTTTTTGTATCTGCCATGACAGCAGATAATACTGAAACAATGCATCTGAGTGCAAGGTATTTGACCATTTGAGTATCCCAAAGCAAACTAGCAACAGTGCTCATGTGCAGAACCTTTTTAACACCTGCAGTCAGAGGCCTCCGGACAGCATCCCACTCTGCCGTAATCACAATCCTCCACGGGGTATACAGAAATCTTTCATTTGATCCGATTTTACTACAATTTTCAAAAAGCTGGAAGGAAAAAACACAATCCGGGTCCATTTTTGCCAGTTTATCCACATTTACATCAGCATTATGCTTTCTCCTTCCCATTTTAGAAATACTAAAAGCCAGCTTCACTTTTTTACGTTGTAGACAAGAGAAATGGATAAAAAAAAAAAAAAAAAAAAAAAAAAAAACACCCTTTTATTTAATTTGTATTCTGGTTTAGTGCAATGATCAATAAAACATTCAGTAGAAAAAGTACAGAAAAGGAATGAAGACCAAGGGCACTGAATGCACCCTCTGACACTGATTAAAGCAAACCTGTGGTAAATGAAAGCTACAAAGCCAATGACAACAGGCAGATGACAACATAAGCAGCCATCATATATCTGCTGCAAGAAGTGTCACCTCATTTCTTTCCAGTGGTAGTTATTATATCCCCCCCTCAATGTCTTGTGCTCGAGCTACCTATCATCAGTGCTGAGGTTAGGCTTTCTGCAGCAAAAGGTGTCTGAGAACAGCTCATGGCCTTCTTGTAGCTACACGTTCACTTTTAGGGAAACAAAACGTAATACAGTAAACTCCCAGCTATCCGGCACCCACAGGGCTCAGTAAATGCCGGATAACTGTAGTTTCTGGTTGCTTAAGAGTTAATAGTAACTCTCAAGCAACCCCCTGCGTTCTGTCTCAGGTCCACTCCTCTGCTTAGTGGGACACAGTATCCAGTAGGTGGAAACAGTACCAAACCCCATTTAGGAGGCTTGTCATGTGAAACAAGACCAGAGACACCTTTATCAAGGTGACAAGCTTGGAGATGTCTTGCCTGTCACTTTGATAAAAGGGACCTTCGTGCTCCCCATCTGCACGCTGTAATTCCATCAGTTGGCCGCAGTGATATTGGGGCTGTCGAGATAGAATCATAGCATGCAGAGGAAGGCCAAGCACCCGAGACTCTGGAACTGTCACATGATAAAAGATAAGTCAGCAAACTACAGCTTTTAAACACAGTGAGGATCGTCAGTGTGGGCAGCAGGACAGACTGGCAGTAATTGTCTTCTATGTTGGCATTGCCTTCTTTTTTAGTTTTCTACAATAGACTGACATTTTAACATATATGAGGAAAGAATCAGGTTAATATAAAGCATCAGTACTTTGTGCTTCAAAAACCTTGTTCCCAGATATATCTTTCCATCTATCTATTAAAATAATGTTTTATTATATATGTAATAGAGGCAACATGCTGTTTTTGCTCATAACAAACCATATGGCTGGTTATGGAGAGTATCCATGGAGATGGCGAGTATCCAGTAGGTGGAAAAACCTTAATGTAGAGAATGGTCTGAAATACAAATGCACAGGTCCACTTTTTGGCTTGAAGTGCAGAATCTCTTGAACGAAGCAGGCACACATATTAATAGGCAGCACATGTGATCTGCTTTACCTGATACAAGATCTGTATTTCTATGCAGTCAGTCTGATGGAAGATTAAACTCAGCAGCAGAAGCAAAGACTAGTCGAAATCACCCTACCATCCCAAGCCCCCATTGCCCACTTCCCGTCCTATGTGCCATCTGGATAATGAAGGTGCAGTGGCACACATATTAAAAGGTGCCTATACACCTGACGATTATCGTACGATAATCGTGGGTGATCCCGCGATCGTACGATAATCGGCAGGTGTATGGGCAGCGTGCGACCACATTTACTGTACAGCCACACGACTTTCGTCTTAAGAGCACGCGGGAAAACCCGGCGAAAATCGCATGATTTTCGGGGGGGGTTGGTAGCGCGATCGCAAGACGAAAGCCGCACGGGCCGGTGTGCGCAAGCGCACACTGCCCGCTCAGCATTGCATTCATAGGCAAGCCCTCTCCTCAGCGGGGAGGACTTGCCATGATCGCAAGTACGATCTGCCTGTCCAAGATGGGCAGTTCGTACGGAATTTGAATCACCTTACAAGCATCTCAACGAAAGTCATGAGATGGTTGTAAGGTGTATGGGCAGCTTTAGTTCATTTCTCTAATTACTATACTCTCTCCTTCTGTCAGCATGCTCACTGCCACATGTGTGTTGCAGCACACCTGATTGGCTCCTAGTGCTGGTCCCCTTCTCCTAGAATGCTGTGCAGAGGATTAGGGAGGCAGATACCAAGGCAAATTCAGCTACATAAATTTTTTAGCATTTAAAAAATTCATTTAAAATTTTAAGTTTCCATATTTTAACATGGAACACAAAGTATGTGGAGCATATGAGGAACAAATCTTACACTTACATTAGGTACAGTAAATTCAACTAAGATTCTTTTATATTTAAACTAAACCGAGTGAATAAGATGTATTGTCTGCCAACGGAGATGAGAGGTGTCTTTCTGACCCTTGCACAATTGCAGTGATTGCTGGATAGCACTAACAGGTCACTGATAAGGTGCCCATACACTGCACGATCATACGAGAATCGCAGGAAATCCCGCGATCGTATGATAATCGTGTATGGAAGATGTGCGACAAATTCTACTGTATGGTCGCACGACTTTTGTATTTCGAGCATGTTGGAAAGCCAGCCGAGAAGCGTACGATTTTCGGCTGGTTTTTAGCATGATCGAGAGATAACTGCCGAACGGGCCGGTGTGCGCATGCGCACACTGCCCGTTCAGCATTGTAGTCATCTGAAGCCTGCCCCTCAGCGGGGAGAGCTTGCGATGATCGCAAGTACGATCTGCCCCTCCAAGATGGACAGATCGTACGTTTTTTTTTTTTAAATTACTTTACAACCCTTGCAAGACAAAAGTCTTGCGAGAACCCTCGCAAGACAAAAGTCTTGCGAGGGTTGTAAAGTGTATGGCCGTCTATAGGTTTTACTTCCCGTCTGAAGCTGCTGCTTTCAGAGCTGTGTACACCTGCCCTGATCTGGACACGAAACAAAAAACTGAGCTGAGACTTTAATATGAGCAGCTGAAAGACAATCAGCGCTAATGGGGACCCGGCGTTGTAAATTGAATCTCCTGGCAGGAGCCAACACTTCTGAAGGCAACTGAATGGTAATGCATTTTACATCATCGCTCCATGTCGGTAAATCCGAAACATTCAGCCAAGAATGCTTTAAACTGACACTCATTAAAATGTCAGCGCTTTACACAATGGAAAACCATCACAGGTATACAGCAGTGATACAAACCTGAACACACAAGACCTTTTGTGCTAGCTCTGCCTCCCCGGGGGTGACCTTCCTTCCTTAAGGCAACATAATACAGCCTTTGTCTTCCTGGTAGTTTAGACTTCTGGGTCGGCTTTAGGGTTCAAATGAAAAAGCTTGCTAGCAGGCCCATGTCTAGTCATAGGGGACCTAAGGTGCCATCAGGGGTCAGATCAGTTTTTAGACCATAAACCAACTGGCATTGACTGATTGATTGGTTTTGGCTTCATTAAGTAAATGTCGCCTGAGACTTTAGATGAGAGTTTAAGCTCCAGGTATATTTTGGATAAGGGTGACTGAAGCCCAAACTCTGGAGCACAGGGTAGCCAAGCACAATGAAGAGGAAAGATACACACTAGCAAAAAGATACATTCTCTTATGGCAGCAGGACAAGGCAGGGGTTGAGGACACATTGGAGAGGAATATCAAGAGTCACCATCACACCAAAAGTCATTCAGCAAAAGTCCATTTATTGACACATTGCCATTCAATAACAAGCGCTTTCGGGGCCTCAAGGGTACCCCTTCACCAGGCTCATGTGTATAAGTGTATACACATTAATGAAAAAAAAACCCAAAACATACATTTATTTAGATTTTGCATTGGAGCCTGCAAAGCATTGCAATTATGACCAGTGAATTGTGTGTGCAATGCTCCTGTAAACTGCTTGTCCAGCCCCAAAGGGTGTGGGACCGGACTTTTGCTGAATTACTTTTGGTGTGCTGGTGACTCTTACTTGATATTCTTGTGTTATACACGGTGCCGTCCGTGGGCGCTACAAGCACCCACCTGCTTTTGCAGGTTCCGGTAAGGAGTGCAGCTGGTTTTCTATTCACATTGGAGAGGAGTCACAAACCCCTCAGCATTTCAAATAAAAACAAATCAAGTGATGCCAGGGTGGTCAGAAGCTATGCAACCAGCATTGACCCTATTTAGATGTGCCTCAGGTAGCATACATTTTAAGGCTGAGCATACACAGAGTTTTTTTTTTCTCCCCATCCACACCAGACACGTGTATGGGGCAGTCTCCCCCGCTAGGCTATTGTCTGACAGTCCAGGGTGTGCCACGTCATAGTACCCAAAGAGTGACTGCAGCTTATTGGCTTTGGGGGTTCCTAGTGGAGCCACACACTGGTCCAAAACTTCCACCAGTGTATGGCACACTTAAACAACCCTGCTGAATACGCCCTGCGACAAACCCTGGGCATGGCAACAGTAGGGAAGAGCAGAAACATATCAATGTGCTACTGATCCCTCATTGTTCAAGAAGCGTGGTGGGGTTAGGTCCTAGACCAAGCTCTGCTGCTTAAACTGAAGCTGTGCTGTCAGACAAAAGGTGTCTAAACTAAAGAGCAGGAGAGCAATATTACACATTTGTTCATAGGTAAATCTAATTCACATTTATGTCTTGCAAACATGTATATAGTTATTTGCCTGGAGTCCATTTATTGCATCCTAATTTGTACAAGACAGAAGCCATAAAGGAAAAAAAAAAGGGGCGGTTCAGCAAGAAGGTTGTGCGCTCTGTGAAGCACAGCATTTTAATGTCTGACCTGAAAGCCAAAATCAGACTAATGGCAATGAAAAGAAATTACTTCTCATTTACTACAAATTTTGTAAATAAGCTGCACAACACAGCAATGAAAATGATTACTGACCAACACACTCCGCCAGGGTGATCTGGCGGGCCACTGTTCTCTGTACCAGGAAGGGTAGTCCAGATCCACTGCCAGACGTACACGAGTGATCCAGCAGATCCTGAGGAAAAACAAAAGTGCACAGGGTTCATATTTCATATACAAGGTTATAAGTGAATTAAAAGTCACTGAAGTCTTCTTAGCAAATGGATACTAGGACAGTGCTGTGAAAACAGGTAGACCATACATATAAACATTAGATAGGTGGGAAAAGGGGTTAGAACACCTCCATAGGAGGGCATATTCGCTGGAAAACACACTGGGTGCTGAAGTCATCTTTAGACACAACACTAGTCATTGGGAACATTGGGACTTTTAATAACACATGGGAAAAAAAACTGATAACCAAAAGAGGTGCAAATGTCAGGCAAACTTGGCCTGCCCCCATTTAAATACCAGCATTTGAAAAGTATTCATGGTCTATTAAGGTCTAGGCCTCACTGCAGTTATTACCATACTGGTTTCATTATCTAGAAAATCACTAGCCCAGAACAATTATGCACCCAGTCCGAAAAGTCTAAATTCCCATCCTACATGGCTTGTTCTGGCCTGTTCACACCATATGCAGTTGTGATGCAGTCCGTTTATTTCAACTGCTGCCGTTAAAACACATCCCAATGCTTTCCTATGTTCTTTCTTGTGCCTTATTCACACCATTGCAGTCGATTCAACTGCAGTCAGAAAAAGTACTGCTTATCCTACTTTAAAAACAAGCAAATAATACAACAAAAGGGCTAGAGCGCACTCACTAATGGGTAAAAGACCTGTTAAGCTTATAAAGTGTGTGTGGTCAAACCATGAATGAACAGGAGTACAGTGTGCAAGCTCTATCAGAAACAGGGAGAGGAACCCTGTGAGTACACAAATAGTGATTTTATCCTACTTTAACTGCATCAAAACGCATCCAACGCAGTGCAAACGCATCAAAACGTATCGCAGTGCAACTGCGCAGACGCGCACAGTTGTGATGCAGTTTCTGGTGTGAACTAAGCCTTCATGGTCTGTCATTGACTAGGTCAGGGAGCTTGCACTATATCACAAATGATTTGCAAATCTTTGTAGTATGTATGGTCTTTGGTTTGTGTCTACTGATCCACGGGATTTCGGAGAAGCAAAACACACCACTAGGTGGCAGCACTTTGCATCCTTTATCTGCAATACTGGCCAGAACTCAACAAAACATCTACTACACTTTATAAGCAATCACAAAAGTGAGATGTTAATTCCAGCTACATAATACATCAAGCCAAGGCAAAGGAAATGCAATCACTAAAAGACATAGTCCACCTTTTGGGGGGGGGAAACACCAATGTGTGCAATGCTCCTGTAAACTGCTTGTCCAGCCCCAGGTTCAAACAAAGGGTGTGGGACAAGAAAATTTGACCATGTGCCATGTAGAACCCTAAATATAGGTGAAACATGGTCAGAAAGGTGGATTATTCTTTAATAAAAATTCTGCTGACCATTTCCTGGCACTAAAATGATTTGTTAAATAAAAAATAAATGTACGTAATATAGCAGTGGCGTCACAAGTGGGGGTGCGGCCCGCACTCGGGTGACACCATTGGAGGGGTGTCACCCCCTCCAAAAAGTCAAGGCACTGGGTCACGGACCGAGAGCCTGACAGTTTCAGGAGAGAGGAGGGGACCATAGCTTATCCCGCCGGGCGACTGTCTCCTCCTCTCTCTGCCAGCGTCCATCACCAAGATGGCCACCGGCAGGTATCAATAAGATTGCTGCGCATACGCGATGGCATCACAGCGGGGTGTCACCCAGTAACCGCTTCGGGTGAAACCCAGCCTTGGGACGCCCCTGTAATATAGTAACACTAAAGTGAAAGGGGACAGACCCTGCACTTACAGACTTATGCCCAAAAAAATGACCCTATGTAGAAGCGACCCAACGTCATGCAACTAAATCCTGATAGCTACCTGCTCCACTGTTCCAAAGTATTAGAAGCTAACAAAAGGCTTAAAACACCTACCACAGGTTACCACCGCTGTAAGTAGAGTATGAAGAATCGCTAACCCTAGTCAGGTCCATTAGTCAGTCTCCATTGGATGCAAAGCAGGAGTTTTCATGCAATGTTAGAAGGGTGATTTATTTGAAGGAAACGTTTTCTTTAAAAGATAATGGCCAAACCTTTTTTGGCTTTAGTTCTCTTTTGGGTCAAAGGAGGTCATTTCTGTGACCCAAAACTCAGCATATTGTTATATTGTTCGGATTCACCCTGCTGCCTGATTGACAGTTGCCTCTGCCTCTCTAGAGTCAGAGCCAACTGTGCCCACCCCCTCACTTGTCTGTCCCTCCAGTCAGCGCTGGAGGAATGGAGAGGGTTATCCCTGTGGGGAGCTCCATGCAGGGAGAAGACTGTTATGTGATCGCTCAGTTCTCGATCTATAGAGCCGACCTGTGACAGCTGTAGTGCCACAAGTCAGCTCTAACTATGGCAATAAGTGCATTTCATTCTCCCAGTAGTTCTCCTTTAGGCCCGGTTCACACCTAGGCGTATTGCATATGTGCGTCTGTCGCGCGGTTTTTTACGCACGTTTCCGAGGGCTACTTGGCTGTATCCCAATGGAAAAGCGCAACAAAAACGGCCCAAAAGTAGTACCTGTACCTTTTCAGGCGTGGGCCGTTTTGTAGCGCGTTAGGGACGGGCTGAAATACGCCAAGGTGTGAACCAGACCCATTGAATACAATGGGATTTAGATGTTTGAGCGTTTTGTTCGAGCGTAGAACGCGCTACAAAACGTTCAGGTGTGAACGAGGCCTTAATTTTACAGCAATTTGTAGCTCCGTTGCTCAGAGAAATTGTGAAGCCTTTCTTGCCTGTGACAAGTTGCTAGCAACAGTCGTTCTTCATTTACCTCCATGGCTTAGCTACAAACCAATGGAGGAGAGTGATTTGTAGCAGGGAACAAGCATGTACTGATGTACCACAAGCCTGCCCTAAAGCTTTGATTAAAAAAAAAAAAAAAAAACAGTTCTTAGCGTCATATCATCAGCAACTGAACTTTCAATACTTTTGTTAGATTTTCCATTTTTTTCCCCCATGGGGGCTAGACAGGATAGCAGAGGGGCACCTTGGTATATGTTAACACACGTCATTGCGCTTTGGACAAGTTATTAAATATATCTTTATATGAGGGTGAGCCAGGCTGAGAGTCATGCAAATGAAAGTGTTGCTTCATGGGTTTAAGAAGTCCTGAGTTCATAAGTAGGTTCCAGCCGACTAGTAAATGTCTGTCCCTGAGTTTATGCACAGCGAGTACAGCCAACACCTACTTTAATGAGCTTACAGTTCAACAGACCATAAGGAAAGGCAAACTGGGTGTGAAAACATTAGGAAGCTCACAGGACAGCTAAGGGCTGCAAAACTACACAGGAAAATTGCTGGTTTGCCAAGTGCTTGTGTATATATATATATAATGTGGGAAATCGCTCGGTACCCTGACCAATCAGTTGTTTAAGCTGCTTTACTTAATAACTGCAATGCTTCTGCTGCTTTGCTGTCCTGGTTGGCATTATTTTTTCCTCTGAGAACCCAAAATGTTACCTATTGTTTAAAGAGACCCCTAGCACCAACTTAGAAATTACAGGTAAAGAGATGGAAATATCAAGTATTTTAAAATGCTTTTCCTTGCCAGAAAGTGTTTTTTTTATTCACTTGCAACACGCCTTTGAACGTACTAGAACATTTGACTGATCAAATCCCTAGTACAGTCCCCTCCAGCTCATATCCCATAGCACTCTCCTCTTCTGGTATTGTCTAATAACTGTCAGTGCAGGTCCAGCTCCTCCATCCCTTTCCCACCTAAACTTTTATGTAGTTGTCAGGGAAGGTGTGTAGAAGAAGAATATATAGAGTCACTTGAGTGATAGCTCCAAGTCTGCTAAGGTTGCTGACATCACATGCAAGATGGCAGTGCCCAGCAGAAGTCTCAGACCTCTTGGATGCCTACACAAGGAAGGCTTTTACAGGTATATACATGCATCAATAAGTTAAATGCACATATAATCCTACAAGAACATTATTTGTTTAAATGATACATCTGACAACAAAATCTCTTTCCAATACCACCTACACTATAAGCCAGAGGGTGTCCTCTGTCAACGGAAGAAAGTCAAACAACTGCCCAGTGGTAGAGCTCCCAAAGCTGCTCGGCAGGCCCCACCTGTTGGCATCTATGTGTACAGGGACAATACATGAGAACTGGATTTCATTCACTTCAGATTTCTGCAGTGTGTGGCAGCCATGAGCTCCCAATGCACAAATCTTTTAGATTGTAAGCGCTCACAGGCAGGGCCCTCCTTACCATCCTGTCTTGAATTGTATTGGGATTGTAATGTCTCATTTATATTGTAAAGCGCTGCGCAAACTGTTGGTGCTATAGAAATCCTGTATAATAATAATAAATCGGAATGTTTTTGCATAGACTGCAGTGATGGGTGCCATAACGGGACATTTTATTACTGCACTTGAACAGCACTTTATAAAACTACAGGTTTTACCGACTCAAGTATGAGTGGGCTAGTAAAGCAGCTTTATATACATAGATGCCAAAAGGAGGGGTATGCACAAGTCATTTATCTTGGCTGAGCACTCCACCAGATGTTCAGGGTAAAATGCTGCATTCAATGGAATAGCTCAATAAATACAGTAACAGCATTTAGCAAAGCATTCACTTCTCGTTCACAATAAGGTACCATTCCCACCACATGTGTTGAGCTGCTTTCCTCAAATGGAAGCCCAAGGCAATGACAAGCTGAAGTCCATTGTTTTCAGTAGGCCCAATTGTTACCAACACGAGTTGGGAGTGGGCTGCATTAAAATGGATCATGCTGCATTCATACCCCAGTAGAAGAAAATACAAATAAAGTATCTTCCCTGTTGGGAAACACACACTTTCAAAACTGCATGTAAACAAAAGTGTGCTTAGTGGGCATCAACGCCTTTTCATTCACAAAAGTGTGAAGGGTTTGGAGAGGGAAGGAGAAGTGAACAATCTAGGCCAAAATAGCCGATTTGGAAAGTGAGCTGAATTGGAGCATTTTTCCAAATCAGCTATTTTGTCCTAGATTGTTCACTTCTCCCGCCTTCTCCAAACTCTTCACCCTTTTGTGAATAGCCCTGTAAATCAAGTGCAAGTGGTGTGAATTCAGCCTAAAGGACAGTGCCTACGTAGAGGCCACAGCTAAATCACCAATCAGAATTTGGGGGGGGGAACTTTTATGCATTGTGTACATGTGTATTTGAGCTCCTGATGTTTTAGAGCTCCGATATATTTATGGGTACGGAATGCCCTGCGTATATATATGTTCAGAAGCATCTTTAGCACCAAGCTTACCGCAAGAGTGCTGTCTCCAACATTTGACGCAATCAACCCGTCTATGGTGCCGTACTCTGCATCTCTCGTACTCAACCTCTCCATATGACGCTGCTGGATCTTCCGGAAGACCAGAAGGGCCACGACGGAAAGAACTATTAAAACGATGACGGGGGCCAGGACGAATATAGCCAGAGTCTCCACGCTGTAATTTAATGCCTCGCCAGGAATCGACCTCCCTAGAGAAGGAGTAAGACAGGATGGGTAAAAATCTCGCATTGCAGAAATCTATGTAAACTGACAAAACACTAATATTGCAAACATCTTCAGAGAGCGAGAGCGTGCCCTTCAATGAAGAACATGATTTCACTTCTCTGTTCAACTGCCGCAATTATCCAGTCGATGGTTGTGTCATTGCTTTTTACAGCATCCTCAAATATTTAATAACTGTATATCAAGAATAGGTCTCTTCAGACATCTACACTTCAAGCCACTGGTGTCTGCAGCACAGTTCTACCTGTCTAGACTTTTTTCACAACCGATTAGTATTTATAAAGGTCAGTCCACACAAAACTAAAATTGCTGGTAGAAAACAAAGCACATTAAATGAACTATTTCTTTAACCTTTGAGGGATTCTGCTAAGATCTTCGGCATTCACATCTGTGCACCCACATTTTTTGTACAATACAACAGGTCAAGTGGGAACCCAACCTGGTAAGCAATGGTCCACAGAACCAGAAATTATGTTAGGGAGATCCTATCATAAAGTCCCTAAGCTAAATAATGTAAGAAGCCTGAGAGAAACCATGTCCACCATACACTAAGTTCGTCTGGTGTCGCTGGTAAATGGCTGGCTCTATCCAGTGCCAATTGCTGGACAACAAGAGCGCAGAATGTAATTCAATGTGGTGAATAGGTTATATGGCTGTTTAGTGTTCATAGAGCAATTCTAGGGTGAACATTTCCAATGGTTTCTGCACATGGCAATTGTTTTGCTAAGTGTAGTTTGTTCATTGGCATCGTCAATATTAGATACATACTTTACCCTGAAAACTGAAACTCCCTTTATATGGTCCTACAATTCTGGGATTAGTGTTTAATCTAAATACCTGCTCCATCCCTCAACATCCTGCAACAATGAATGGGAAAGGACTGTTCCTCCAGTTAGTGCTGGAGGATCGGACAGGGGAGGGGGGAATCGCCGCAAGGAGCCGTGACTGACAGTCACGGATCTCTGCAGGGATATGATCGAAAATTGAGCGAGCGACGGTATGTGTCCGCTCACTTCCCGATCCATTGAGCCGACGTGTGAGTTTCATTGTCGCAAGTCGGCTCGAACTATGAGGCTAAGTGATTTTCACTCACCTCATAGTTCTCCTTTAACTCATCCTCACTCTATCCAAAACCAAGAAAAAAAAATTTGACAGAAGTTGGGCTTTAATGTTCTGACAGGAGGCTTTGTCTTCTCCGGTAACTGACACAGTTACCAAACCACCAAGTTTGGGCCAAATAAAGATGCAAACAGCTAGAAGTGACAAGTCAGTAAATAATATTTTCCCAATGAGTGTATTTTTAGTCTCTGCATTCTAAGCACTAAACCCCGACAGTTTTATAGTTATATATAACTAAAAGAGAGTTTGTATTCCTCAGAGTAGATTACATATTTGTGTTAACTCCTGTGCTGTCAAGTGAGACAGCAGATTATGAAAATATTTCAGAGGAGAGCGATGCAAATAGCTATAATCATTCTACTAACAGGAATATTACTGAAGTCATAACAGAGTCAAGTGAAAAATAGATTGCCTGCAAGCTCTGGCTTAAACAATATATAGTGGGAGGGCCAATACGAAAATGCTGCAAAATCTGTGGATAAATTGCTGGGTAGAAATAGGTAATGTTGCCAAAAATGGTTGTGGAAAAAGTAATGGTTGGAAAAATATATTAAAAAAAAAAAAAGAAGGTTTATGAATGAAAGTTCTAAATTTTGACATCACAGATCCCAGGCTTACAGAACAATTGCATTCATTAACCCTGGATTTTGGATGTTCCTTGTCTCCCAGCACATACTCGGCTGTGCAGCACATACACCGTCAGTTAAATGAGTTTTAGTGATGCTTATGCTGCTGGACCACTATTCTTTTTTTGGTTCAGTACACCCTGCTAGGAAGGTAACAGCACTGCAAGAGCACCAAAAACAGTTAGATCACCAGGTTTAAAGAAAACCTGTGCTTTATCCATGCAGGGGGTGTCAAGAAACCTTTAACTCATGCAAGTTAAAAACCGGAGTGGTTAACTACATATAAGGCGAGAGGTCTTCCCAGAACGCTCCAATTATACTACAGCAGGGCACATGGCAATCTTTCTACCAGACTTGATGGGTACTCTAAAGAGCACAGCAGTAGCAATTTTCTTTCAGACTGTCTCTCTCTAATGGAAAGTTTGTACAGAACCATACAGAACAGGAAAGGTAATTGGAAAGGAAGAGAGGGGACTGCTTTGACTTCTTCAGTGTGTTACTAGGAGTGAGAATTTTTATCAAAGATGTTAAACTGAATCTGAAAAGGAGACCAGAATACTACTGCCGAGAAGAATTCACAAATTGATAGTCACATTTAATATCTAGCGGGGGAAAAAAAAAAGAAGTAGATTTTGTCCTAAACATACAGGAAATAATATATACAAAAACAAAAGTAATGTATTCACTTTAAATAAAAGCTCCTCTTTCAAGTAGCTGTTCACATTACCCTTACTTGGCAGGGACGCTGTGATGTTGATATTGCAGAGATCACTCTGACAGCATTCTACGGCCTGGTCCGGAGACGGAGGGGTCTTGCATGTCATCCTCCCTTGTTCGTAGACTTGGAAGCAGCCTTTCTGATAAACCAAGACGCCATCATTTATGCTGAGTGAGGAGAAGCACTGCTGCCCATAACAGCGTTCTCCACTGCTACACGAGATCCCCTCGCACACACATTGGTACTGGCCGGAGTTCATCTTCAGCTCCTCATCTATGGAGAAGAGTCGGCGGATTAAAACAAAATAATTGTAGTATGCAACAGCTGCTCTAGACAAAATAACACCATAGAGATCACCCTGTATTCAAAGAATAAGCATTACTCCTCAGTCCTTTGATTTAAAATAATACAGTTTTTCCTAAATGTTACTACACCAGGTACGAATGTTACAACCCTTGGCAGAGCCAAGACTCAAAGTAGGATGGAGCTTGTTCCAGGTTAGCGACTCAAAGTAGGATGGAGCTTGACTGGATATGCTGCAATAGGGGGAGTGGTTTGGGCAGGAGAACAACATATATAAAACAAATTGCTTAACCCAACTCAGAAATGAATAGAAGACCTCCCTGGGTGTGCATAAGGTTTCCTTTGGATGCTCAGATAATTCATCCTACAATCCATAAACACGAGAGGTTGATTAGCTTCCTCTCGAAACTGGCTGTAATATGTGGCAGGGATTGTGATTTTCTTCAGGGGACGGATGTGGATGGAGCCGAATGGGTTTTTTTTTTTTATAGGTTTCGGCACTCTTCTTCCTGTACATGTGGACCATGGACCTATTCATTCCCTATGGGTGAGCAGAGCTACGCAGGACAGCTGAAAGCCACGGCGAGTACAGTTCACCCCTAAGAATGAATGGGGCTGCAGTGCACATATGCAGTAAGAGGACCAGGCAGGGACATTTTCACAGAAAATTTTGCGGGGCACCTGGCAGCACAATGAGGCTGGGTTCTCACCTAGGTGGCACAGTTTATGCACGTTTATACGTGAGTTAACAGCATGCGGCTATTTGCGCGTTGTGCACATTTGTATGCGCGCTTTAACGCGCATACATGAAGACGCACGTTCTGATTAGCAGCTCATAAACCATTGTGGGCAATGGAAGAATGGGTGTATAAAACGCTTCCGAAAATGTACAACATGCTTCTGTTGCGCGTTTTTGGGCATTTCCAATTAAGTCCATGGACAAAAAAGTGCTTTTAAACAGCCCAAAGAAGCTCCCATACCCTTTTGGGTGTTTTTCTGCTCAGGTGTGAACCAGGGCCATTGAAAACCATGGGATTTCTTGTGTTGGGCAGTTAAAAGTGCTTTTCGAAACTGCTCAAAAACTCCTAGGTGTGAACCAGGCCTTAAGATCACTGGAACAGGGAATACGATAGTGGTTTTTTTATTTACCAGGCAGGCTACACTCAAAAGGGCTGGGGGTTAATTAATGGACAACTGTACAGGTATAGTAGTCATTAAATTAGCACATGTCCCTTCCTCCCACATAAGGTACGCTCATCTGTTTAAATCACCCTTATTTTTTTCCAGCCAAGCTCAGCCCAGTCACAACAATACCAGCGGGGAGAGAGAAGTGCATGACTGGCCTCAGGGGAGGGTGGCTAGGATCTCTCTCTCTCCAGCTCATTGCAGATTCTTTGCCTTATTACCAAGCTTTATTTATAATACGCCATCATCCTCCACAGAGCTGTGCACTACATTAAAAAAACACTATACAACCTGGAATCTCAAATATGTAAAACTCAAAGAAAACCCAGCTTTTACTAAATTTACAACCCTAAGTGTGGCTTATTATTAAAGCATTTCTACTGTGAAGAGAAAAAAAAATATGTTCTACCAAGGTTAGCTGCAGGAGGACAAACATAGAAATCAAGAACATAGAAAAAAAATGCATATACAAAAAGGAAAAACAGGTTTTCCAGAAAATCGAATACTTTGGGGGAATTCATCAAAACTGGAGCATGCAAAATCTGAAACAGTTGCCCATGGCGACCAATCAGCTTCTGTCTTCAGTTTGTTAAGTTTAGAAAATGAAAGACAGAAGCTGATTGGTTGCCGTGCACATTTGCTCCAGATTTTGTCTGCTCCAAATTTTGATAAATCCCTCTCTTTACCTTTTTTATTTGTTTTTGCAGTCAGGTCAGTAAATAACAAAATTTCGAAAAGTCATCTAAAAAAAAAAAATCGGACCACTTACGCGCGTTTGAGTTTAAATCTCAAATCAATAGAATTCAACTACTCCGTCACACCATAGAAATCTGACCATAGATTTACCACAACTATGTTATCTGAGGACCTATCTATAATATCCAATCATTTTTTATCTAATCAGACAGTTCCATCATATTGCAAAGAGGTTGGTAGACCTAAAGCAGATTGTGCAGCCCGATGATGCTAGATGTAGGCACTACAGAAGCCTGGTTTTTGTTTTCTTGGTGGGAATGTAATATGTATACTAGTTAGGATGAGTTGAGGCTTAAATCCAACATAAAATGCTCAACTGACACCATAAAAAAAATTTAATTAAAAAATCCCGTGTTTTCCTGTGTTAAGTTGCCTTAAGGCATTAGACAGCCCATTCAGTGCACACAAAAAAATTTAAATAATAATACATTAAAATGATTTAGGTGCACGATTATTTTCAGCAGTGCAACGCAAAACATGCTTCTGTGCTTTTTGGTGCACTGCGCATGTGTAATGGGATGCAATTAATCCCCATAGAGCCGACGCGTGACATTAATTAAAACTGTCGCAGGTCGGCTCTATTGATCGGCAAGTGAGCGAAATCATACCGCCGCTTGCTAACTTTCCGATCATCTCCCCGCAGTTAGTGGTGACCGTCAGTCACTACTCTCCGCAGGGATTCGCCCTCTCCGAACTTTCAGAGCTGACTGGAGGAGCAGACAGGGAAGGGGGTGGGCACAGCTGACTTTGCTCTGGATAAGCAGAGCCCGCTGTCAATCAGCCAGCTGGGTGGATCTTGACAGGATTGTTGCCATCTGTCCCGGCTGTGGCGCTCTCAACATATGGTGGGCCATAGCCCGCTATATACTGAGTTTTGGTTCACGGGAGAACATTAGTATATGTCCTCCCATGACCCTAAAGAGAAAATGGGGTTTTAAGTTCTCCTTTAACTTTGATTGGCAATGCACATTTACAGTGTTACTGTGCTTTACTGTAAATAGGGAATGAGCCCCAAGTGAAAGGTTTGCATGTTATCAGACTGTTACCAGACCTGGGTGTTTAATTTGTACCCTAGCACTGAATGAGGATGAGGCTTCTCAAGTTTTTGATCATATCACTGAAAATAAAGCAAGTAAGCAATCTGATTGGGCAAAACTTGTAATCTTTTTTTTTTTTTTAATAGATTATAATAACTAATTAACTATTAAATAGATAGATCATTTTAGGTTTTCCCAGTTTTTATTTCCGTTATATTGCTTACACCTCTTGTGATGTAACCAAATGTCTCTTGTTTTAACACAACAGGTACACTTTAAATATTTTACACAACTTGGAGATGAGCAATATAACAAGGGTGTGAAATATTTAGCTGTTCAGGCAAGTTCTTAAAGAAATGCAAAAAAAAAATTAATGAAAATCTAAAATGTTTGGCTGCTAAAAAAGCAATTAAAGAGGCATAGGGTGTATCATCTAAATCATTCCGTCATGGGAGGAAGTCATGTGACAAAGAAAAACAGCCCTAAAGCCAATGAACAGAGCACCTCTGCAGAGATATGTAGAAGTGTCCCTGAGTTGATCAGAACTGCAGATCTTTATTTGTTATTAGGGGTGATATTTTCCTGTGCATTGCTTATCTTCTCTTCAGTATTCACCGCTTACAAGTTAAACCTTTGCTTTAACCATGCAGGACAAAGCAAAAGGTAATTTAACTTCCCCCATCCCCAGCAACATATTTTCTCATTTCTTAACTCCCCTGCAGCTTCAATTAGCTGCCGGGACAAGAGTGACATACCCAGCGCTTCTGGGTAAAAGGAAGCACGTGGCTCCAGCTTCGTAATTGACCTGGCACTGGCACAAAGGTGTGGAAAAGGAGCCAATAAAACCTGCGGGAGATCTGTGGCACGTCACTTTCAACTTTATTTCCCTCAGTCTGGTGGTTAAATGGCTACCGAGCAAGAAAAGACAACTATGTGCTGTTTGGGAAGGGAATTTAAAGACCCTTTTACTTTGTAGTTGAGGAAAGGGTACATTTATGGACACTTGAGCCAGACATTATTTAGCCTAAAATGGCTGATAGCATACAGTCAAAATAGAGTTGTTTGGTCACGGTAACAATAGACATGTTTGCCACAAATCGGAGAGCATTTCAGGAGAAGAACTTCATACCAACTCTGAAGCATGGTGGTGAAAATGTTATGGCTCGGGTTGCTTTGCTTCTTCAGGGCCTGGGCATCTTGCAATCATCAAGTCAACTAAACGTATAGCATTATATCAAAAGTGTGCTTGACGAGACTGAGGCCATCTGTCCGAAAGTTAAAGCAAAAATGGGTCTTCCAAGAACATAATGATCCGAAGTGATCCCACCAAAGAATGTCTCAGAATGTAGATATAGAGGGTTACGAACTGCCCTAATCAAAGCCCTGATTTGGTTCCCACTGAAATTTTGTAGGGTGAATTTTTAAGCAGGCAGTTCATGCAAGGAAACCCAAAAACATGCTGCAGCTGAAAGAATTGTAGTCAAAACTATCAATGCCGATGTTCGAGACTGGTAGGCAGGTATACAAAACGCCTAAGTCATTTCTGCTAAAGGAGGGCAATACCGGCATCGGATGTCAAGGATGTGCCTTTTCCACAATATACCATTACATTTGTTATTATTTTTGTTGAATACATGAATTAAAAGACGACATTTTTCTTCTGAAGATCTAATGTATCCTGTTCAAATATGTTTAAAACAGTCAACTCCCCTGGGGTGTATCATTTTTCACATGGCTGTAAAAGTAAAGCCCAGGAAATGTTGATGAAATTAAAAAAACATTAGAGACCAAAACACAAACATAAAAAAATTACCCAAAACCATTATAGTTTACTTTAAGGCTAGGTTCACATCTGAAGAATCCGTGACCGCGTGGCAATTGTGCACAAACCGGTGCAGTCACAGAGTCGCCCACCACAGATGATCGCACTGGTGGTGCCATTATTTTCTAATGCCCATGCAGTTGAACACAATCGCAGCTAAAAAAAAAAAAAAAGCTGACTGTTGTGCGTCGCAAAAAAAAAAGTTACTTGTACCTTTTTTTTTTGCGATTGCAGCGCGGATATAATTCCGCTGAAATCAATGAGCCACGCGGCGACCGCTGTGTGCGCCAGCACACAATCCCGGGCATCGCTTAGATCTGAACCTAGCCTTAATGGTCTGCCTAAATGTAGCCCGATAATCTGCAATAAAGATGGTTGAGTAACTTACCTTCTATACTAGGAGATGAAAAGGCTACCATGATGAGCAGAGGAAGGATTATACCACCATCCACCATTGTACAGCCCTAGAAGGGAAGGAAACAAAGTGCAACGGGTGAAATGGCATAATACATACACAGCATTTATAGTTATGATACCTACTGTATAATACTTGAAGTGATTTCTAAATATTAAGATTGTATTAAGTTTTAGATATAACAATACAAAGTAGTTAAACAGATGTATAAAAAGAAAGAGGGGGTAAGGCACAAAGTAGAAAGACCTATGTGTAATGAACAATTCCAAGGTACCTTCAGGACAATAAATCAGCTCAAGTACACCATCCCGCCGGTAAATATCTAGCCTTAGTTGGGGCAAAGGTAGTGGTCCAACTAGGAGGAGGGGGAATAGGTGCAAGGACATTGTTACCGGAGGAGGAACCAGACCAGGTAGAATAGAAACAAACATACAGAAAAACGAATAGAAATGGGAAGAAAGAGAAAATGTAGCAGAGAGGTAAATAAAGGGGAGAGAAAGAAGAAATTGTGGAAAGAAAGCCAGAAATCAGGGGAGAAAAAAAAAAAGGGGGGGGGGGGAGGGGGGGGCGTTTTTTAACCACTTCTGCAGATATCACATGACCAATTGCCTAGGCCATTACACATGTGGACAGAACTTACGAGAACCTAAAGCAGTGCTTTCTCCAGGAAAGTATCTGAACCCTACTAGTGCACTTGTGAAAAATACAAGCAGAAAAGGAAAACACAGAAGGAGGAAACAGTATTCTTTCACTTAGGAATAATTACATTAACTGTGCAAGCACAGATGTATATAAAGAAAAAAAATAACATTTGCATACACAGTTATGTATAACTTGAGGCATGTGGCTTTACAATAGCCATTTGTCTCAGAAACGCAACGGCAAAACATGTCATGCATCTCCAGCAATTGCAAAATAAATAGGAAGCCACGGTGAATGGAATGAACATCTCTTAATAAAAATATTATTGTTCATTGTATTTTATATAAAAGGTTGTGTTATCATCCAACAGACTCATTAATGACCTTGATGATGCTGAGATCTATTTATCATGCAAAGGAACCTCAACAAATGAGCCAAACCTGTTGTGCATGGTTACCGAGATGTTCCTGTCAGTTTATAAGGAGATTTGTGCAGAGAAGTTGGTGCAGTGGAGTTTGATTGACTAATGAATCGGCCAATTACTTCAGAATCCTTATCCTGGTGTGGTATTTTAATATTGTGATCCATTTACCTCTGCAGCGCTATATGGCTGCACAGCAGGAGAGTAGCAACCCTTTCCAGAACCTGAAATACTGCAGACTCCATATTAGTGCCCCAAATCCTTGAAACAATGAACCTCCACAAGTGATGAACACAACGACACCTACCAAGGGCACGCAACGACACCAACCAAGGGCACGCAACGACACCAACCAAGAGCACGCAACGACACCAACCAAGAGCACGCAACGACACCAACCAAGAGCTTTCCCCCTTCTCACCCCCCTCCCTACTCCAACAACTTAGAACAGGCACCACGTGAAGCCTGATTTCTCCAAAGAATCTTTAGCCTCAGAGAATTGTTCTATGAAAGTCTTCAGAGATCAAGTGCACAGGCACGATCAGAGCAGAGCAATGTAGGTATGCATCTAGGGTGTGGAAGGGCGAGTTACATTAGGTCAAGGGTGCTAGGCAGGAGGAGGACACTTTCTGTAAAGGAGAAAGCAGTGATTGCAATAAATATCTGCTCCCTCTAGTGGCCAGTCCACAGATCACTATATTTAAAGTAAACCTATGAGAAACAATGGTGCTACAATTGATGACCTGCTTTTGAAAATGCTTGTGACCTGGCAGACTTTCCAATTTACTGATCCAAAACCTCTTTACATAGCCGCAAAGTCAAAAACCATAATCTGCATGCTTATTCCAGGCCAGTGAAGCAAAAGGATTAACATGGCGGGTGGGAAACTAAGTCTACACATGGCAGCCTTAATGTTTCTTTCATGAAATGTTTCCTTTAATACTTTAAGGTATGAAAAAGCAAAAAACATACAAAATTCAATTACGTCACAAATTTAAGGTTAGACACTGCAAGAGCAACTAAAAATATCGGCCAATTGAAAATACCTTATAAATTGCCTTTAGGCAGATTTCACCACATATACATTCATCATATGAATATCTTATAGATTTCAGTATTGAATGTCATGTAGAAGATATCTTTTCCACTCAAAATTCGGCAGATGAAAAAATAGAAATGTTCTCTATGAGCCATGAATACTAAGTAACCATCCCACACAAATTGAATCATGAAAACTGATCTGAGTAAGTGCCCAATAAAACAAATCAGCCTTTCAGCAATGCAAAAAAAAAAAAAAAAAAAAAAAACTCATGACAAAGCTTTACTCACTCGCCGTGCCAAAGGAAAAGCATGACACCTTCATTCCAACACAGAGAAACAGAATGAAGAGATGCTACTGACCTGTTACAATAGATGAAATGTATTACTGAATCTGCAAGGCTCAATTCACATAGCTGTAGCACAAGGATAAGGGGCTTTATTTTAGTCATATGGCTGTAATTTTCAAATCTCATTGGGTGCAATGAGAATAAATGAAAAGTCACTTTTTAAAAAATAATGATGCTTATTGTGGCTTTTTTTTTTATAAATTATTTTATTGAACAGGTTTTCAAGAATACATGCAACAGAAAGTAAGTAAGGAACAACATTTCCAATACCAAAGCAGTGGACGCAGCCACTGATTGCGTACAACTGATAGACCTTTTCAAAACAATATTATAATTAGAACTGCAAATGTACTCATCACAACCCTGAGGCCAATTTGGATGAATGATGAGCCCCGTTGGCCACCCCTCAGCCTGTGGACCATCCGGCCTCCACTGCCTAGGGGGCCTGTCTCGAGTGCAACTCCATTGCCCAGTTATCTAAGCGGAGCTCTCTGAACAAGCACCTCACACCGCCATGGTTAGGACACGCCCCTATTGTGGCTTTTTTACTTCCTAAATTGAGCCTTGTGTTTCATAGAATTGCCATTTGTGTTTTATCTACAATACTATTTTTAATTACTTTGTTAAAAACTTGTTTGCTTTTCAGAGCTTCTCATCTGCTCCAGACTGCTTGCAAGCCACTTCCTGGTCATAAATGTTAAAGTGGACCTTTACCCCCTTTCACTAACCACCACCATGCAGCTCTGAATGCCGATATGAAATCTTGCATGCATGATACATTTTTAATTTTACTTGCAATTACTGTTTTTCCACTTCCTGGTCCTCTTGGGCATTAGTAATGTAATGTGCCCATCCTGGGACAGTTACATCAGCAGAGCATTGCTGGGAGATCTCATCTGTAATCCCATGTAATCTCAGGGAAAGGCATTTTCCTCCCCTGAGATGCTGTGTGTGGTCACATGTCCCAGTCACATGTACCAGAGATGCAGGAAGTAAAGGGAGATGTATTAAATCAGTAAAAAATGGCCACGGTCAGAAGACTGGGGAAGAAAAGAGAAATAAGGAATGCAAAGAATACAAAGCCGGCAATTATCTAGAAGTATCTGTTTGTAGATAGTCATTTCTAAAGGTGTGTTTGTTGTCATTTCAAAAGCTACGGGTGGAAATACACCAGTAGAATTTTGTTCCACAAAAATGTTCCAAAAATTAGTTTTCAAAACATTTGATTTTCTTATAGCTAAAGGGGTCAAAATCGACAATCGCTTTGAAATGTAGCAATGCAGAAAACATTTTTTTTACCACAGAATGGAACAATTTTCTTGAACAAATAACAGCGAACGTGGTTTTCATTCGGGAAATCAATTCCAGAATCTAATGTTAAAAGCAATGCCATTTGTCATGTCTCTGATGGCACTATCAAATAATCTGACGAGATTTTGTGTTTGAACGGTGTATGGGCAGCTTTATTATTTTTCTAAATGCATTGATGCTCATTAAAAAGGACCTACTGATGACAAGGGGCGCTCATGGAAATGCACTTCAAACCTCATGAAAGAGCGCATGCAAACTGTTCGAATCCAGCTGAGATCTGTATTCTAGTCATCGGGGAACAAGTCCCAGCACACCTTACCAGTCCACTCACATTATATAAAAAAATATCTGAGAACAAAACATTGGAAAATAATTAACATTCCACCAGTGTTAAGGTTCTGCTTTATTCCGATACTTTTCAGTCAGGAAGCAGCTAACCTGGCCAGAGACACAGAATAAATGAACCATTTGTTCGCGGATGTCTTTGTAGCGCGCTTGGCACACGTTACAAAGAGCTTCTTTTTTGTGTGCAGCAGACGCAAACACTCGCAGACAGACCGCACTTCCAGAAAAGATGACAAAAGCCCCAGCCAGTACTTAATCTCATGGCACTAAAGTATGCTTCATAGACAAAACATAACATCCCCAGTCTGTAAAATATAAAAAGGGACACTGTCACTGTCCTGCTGTTGGCTTCTCCAGTTACAAAGACGGCCAACATGTTGTGGATTTTATTAATAATGACATAGAACGTCTTTAGCTTGGTGTAAAGTAGGGCACATGGGGACCCTTAAAAATGCAAACGCATAGGAAAATTGGGAAAATTGTTGTATTGTCTTAGTCCCATGTGGCCCTCTTTTTCCAGAACAGGCCTCTTGAAACCCCCAGAGCCTGGGGTGCAAACACCAAATAGCTTCACGATTGCTGGCTCTGACTGCACTGCCTGCCACCCCACATGCCTTACCATAGGTTAGTGGGGCCGCTGGGCCAATAGTAGACTGAAAAAAGTGAAAAAGAGGGCAGAGAACAAGGTCTGCGACCATGAAGTCGGACAAAAAACGTGCACCAGGCTTTTGGGGGTGCAGGAGCACAATACAGGAATTGGATGCGGAATGCAAGCACCATTTAAAAAAAAAAAACTAAAAAACTAAAAAACTTTAGCTAGATGGCCAAGAGTTAGAACTCTAAAGTTACTAGAAAAAGGAGTCGAGTAGAAATCTCCTCAGTGTTGATACAAAGTAAGAGAATGACGGATGCACCGATACCAGTGTCGGTGAAGATAATGGG